AGAGAGACATAGAGACAGAAAGCGAGAAATCACCCCCCAGGGGGGATGGTCACGCCGCAATCCCTTCTCCTCCATTCTCCTCCCGGGATCTTGGGCATGCATGCACACGCGCCCGGCGTGAGTTTTAAGCCACCAGGTCCAGGACACAAACCGCGGTCGACTACGTGGGAGTCCAGCGACATAGCCATTACGCTAACTGCTGGTTCCCTGATAGGGCCATTTTAAAAAGTTTATTTATTTCTTCTATGAGAAAGAGACAAACAGTACTCTGAACAGGGTCTTGACATGGCAATGCGCCCTCAGCCTTAGCGAGCCCAGATCATGGGAACATGCCTGCCCAGAGCGCTCAAGGAGTTCTGTGGTTGCAAACCCAAACCCTTCCAATAGGGGTCAGTCAGCCTCGCAGAGCTTTGCTGTGCCACTGTCTGGCACCCAACATTGCCTATTTTTGAAGGGTAAGTATCAGACTTTGTTAACGATCATTAATTTATATACTAATAATCAAGAACACTTAGTTATAAGCAAAAAAAAATTCAGAATTACAGTTCACTGACTGGCAAACACAGAAAACGATCAGCACAAAGCTTATCAGAGGGTTTCTTATCACTCCTTTGATGGTAACTTCACAAGCACTGCAATAATCCGATTACTGCATTCCTCAAGGATGTGCAAGTGGGCAGATAAAGGTAAAGCTGTGTGTAGTTTGGGGCTGGCTCCTTAGTCTGGTGGTTAAGGTAGCCAGGTCACATACGACTGACGGTGTGGTTGGAGTAGTCCTAGTGGCTTGAAAAGCATGCAGGGTACGTGTGTGCATATACCAAAATCGCCACGCAGTAGAGAAATGGAGGAGAGAGGACTGCGGCACGACTATGCCCCATTTGGCGGGCGCTTTGCCCTTCTCCCTCTGTCTCTCTCTAGCAAGTACACAGGCCCTCTGGCAAATAAAAAATAAAATCATGGAGCTAGCAGGTACTGTGGTGGTTAAGATACTGGATGCCCAAATAGCTGACCGTGGTTCAAGTCCAAGACTTGGTGGCTTAGGTTTTTGTTTTGTTTTGTTTTCATACAAGAACACTAAAATTCAATGTGACAAAAGCAACTTGAAAGCCTGAGGCTTGGAGGAAAGAAAGGAAATTCTTTTTTTAAAAATTAATTTATTTATTTACATTTAATCACATTTTTACAGTGTACAACATTTCTTTTTCTAGCACAAATACTATGCCCATCAGTCAAGCCAAAGATATTAGTCTATAACTTATCATCAAATAGCTTCTCATTTTTTTTGTAAATTAAGCATACTTTTACTTGTTTTTTCTTTCTCTTTTCCCCTTTCCTACTAAACTTTTTTTCCACATTTTATTGATTCACAAAATGCCTTAAGCTAAAAATATAAACAAAGCTAGAATCTAGTTAAAAGTGCAGGGTAATTTTCTTCTTAAAATTAAAAAAAAATTAATTAATTTACATTAATTCCCTGAGCATTGTCACAGCATACAAAATATGATTTCCCATCCAGTATATACTGCATAGTGGCTTAGTTATGATTGTTATTGTCAATAATTTTCCATTTCTAGTTTCATATGTACATATATATATTTTACCCCTATTTCTGTGTGTGTGCCTGTGAAAGATTAATATATTTTTTAATTTCAAGAAAAGAGTTTTGGCTTTAATAAATCAAAGAAAAGCTAAGGAACTTTGCTTAAAACTTAAAGCCAGGAAACAGGTTAGGGTCCTGTTCAAATAATAGATACATGAACCTATTGGCAGCTCAAGACAGGACAAAAATCCTTAAAATTGGAAAACAAAGCCTAGAAGAAAATCAGCAATGTTTTAGTCAAAAGTCATAAGATTCTATTTCACCAGTTCAGTCTCATGTACTTAATCTTCTGTTCTGGTTCAATCTTCCCTATTGAATTCTGGGATATAATATTCAACTGCAGACTTGTCCCTACGATTAAGTTGGCCATTTACCTAGTTTTTGAACTCTTATTTCTGTGTGTCTGTATTTAATTTTCCTGGCATAGCACTCCCTTGAGAACTTCTTGTAGAACTGGTCAGGTGTTGGTAAATTCTTCCAGGTTTTGTTTATCTGAGAATGTTCTTGTCTTTTCTTCCCATATGAAGGATAATCTTGCTGGGTACGGTGTTCTTGGTTAAAACTGTTTTTCCCTTAACACTTTGAATATATTTTCCTATTCTTTCCTTGCTCGCATTGTTTCTGATGAGAGGTCCACTCTTAGTCTGATGGGATATCCTGTGTAGGTAACTTGACATTTCTCTCTTGCCAATCTTAGTATCTTGTTTCTGTCTGTGGTTTTGGTCAATCTGGCCATGAATTTGTCTTGGAGAAGATCTTGGGTTGATTCTATTTGGGGTCCTTTGTATTTCTTGGGACAGCATCTTTGAATGCCTCTCTGGGTTTTCTTCCAGGATTTCATGGAATATATTATCAATGCCCTTATTAGTCTCTTCACTTTCTGGGATACCAATTATCCAAATTTTGGATGTTAAATGGTATCTAGTATTTCTCATATATTATTCTCATTTTTGGGGGCAATTTTCACAGTTTTGGTGGTGGATTTTAGGAGAGGAGGACATTCTTCTTTTAGAGAGAGAAGTTTTTGCTACAGGGTGTATGTGCTCATCAGAAAGACAGAGACAGAAAGCAAGAAATCACACACCCCCCACCCCCCTGGAGAATGGCCATGCCACAATCCCTTTTATTCCATTCTCTTGGGATCTTGAGCATGCACGCACACGCGCCAGGCGTGAGTTTAAGCCACCACGTCCAGGACTCGAACCGTGGTCGACTACATGGGAGTCCAGCAACATAGCCATTACGCTAACTGTTGGTCCTTTGTGGTGGATTTTCTAGGCCAGTGTTTCTATTGTCTACATCTGAGATTCAACTTTCTGTATGATCTAGTCTGCTTTCAATACTTTCAAGGGAGGCTTTGACTTCCTGTATTATAGCCTTCATCTCTAACAGGTTCCTTTGATTCTCTTTTTTTTTTTTTAAGAGGTTTTTGCTATAGGGCACATGTGCTCGCCAGAAAGACAGAAAGAGACAGAAAGACAGAAGGCGAGAAATCACCTCCTGGGGAGATGGCCACTCTGCAGTCCCTTCTCCTCCATTCTCCTCTCGGGATCTTGGGCACGCATGCACATGCACCCGGCGTGAGGTTAAGCCACTGGGTCCTGGACCATGGTTGACTACATGGGAGTCCAGTGACATAGCCATTACTCTAACTGCTGGTCCCAATATTCTAAATTCTTCATCAGACATTTCCATGAATTTCATTGTACTATCTGAGGATGAATAGGAGTTATTCTTTTCCCCTTGGAGAAGGGGCATTTTCTTGCTTGCCCCTATTTCTTGTGACCCTGCAGAGATTTCTAATCATCTGATGGATGGTGCATTTCTTCCTAATTCTTTTTTTTTTTTTAAAGCATCATTTTATTTAACTTTATTTATTTATTTATTTAAATTTGACCAGAAAGGGACAGAGTGAGAGAGACAGACAGACAGTAAGAAAGCAAGCTGCCAGGTCCGCGACTCGAACCACGGTCGGCCATGTGGGAGTCCAGCACCCTTAACCACCAAGCCACCTGCCAGCCCCATTTCTTCCTAATTCTTGAAGTTCAATCTGAACATTCAGAGGCATGCAGAAGGAGGTAATCTGCAATTTCTCTTCCGTTCTGTTTCACTTTGTACGTCTGATTCGGTGGGAATAGAGGAATATTCTGACCCTAATCGTATTCTTACGTTTGGATCCTGTTCACTTGGACCTGTCTAGACACTTAGTGCATAGAGGCCAGTAGAAATGAATCTGGAGGAGGAAGTCTCGGCACAAAATCTTCATTTTTGGCCAAGGAAAGCAATATTTCACAGCTCAAGTTTGGTATCCATCTCAGGATGGGCCCTAGTGGCTTGGTTTTTCACTCTGTCTCTCTCTCTCTCTGAATCTTTCTGGTCAAATTTAAAAAATAAGTTTGTTTATCTTTAATTTGACGAGAGAAACACACACACACACACACACACAGAGAAAGAGAGAGAGAGAAAGAGAGAGGGGAAGCGAGAAAGCAAGCTGCCAGGTATAGGGACTTGAACTGTGGTTGGCCATGTGGGAGTGTCCAGCACCTTAACTACCATGTCACCTGCTGGTCCCTAAATAAACAATTCTTAAAAAATCATATTATAGAGAATAAAAGGTAAATATAACCCCAATTATTTTACCAGATAGAAGATTTATTCTAGTGTATTACCATTATTCTTTTTTTCTTTCTTTTAGTTTTTGCTATATGGTGTGTGTACTCATCAGAGAGACAGAGATTGAGAGAAATCATCCCCTAGGGAACTGGCCATGTCACACAGTCCCTTCACCATTCTTCTCTTGGGATTTTGGACATGCATGAACATGCACCCAGCATGATCTTCAGGCCTTCAGGTTCAGGACTTGAACTCTGCAGACAGCCATGTGGGCTCCAGCAACCTTAACCTCAGCGCCACCTAGTGGGCCTGTGTTATGAGCATTATTAGTGTGCGAAATCCATATGTTCATGTCCATTATTCTAAGCTAATATGATTAATCAGCAGTCTATGAAGGAGACCTTATTATAATTTAAAATTATACTTACTATCACTTTAATATCTATTAACTCTAATAACTTTTAAAAATAGTAAAAACAGAATTTATATGAATTAAGTAAAATAACTTATATTTATATACAAACATAGTAAAATGACTTTAAATGAATCCATTAATTTGGCAAGCAATCTACTCAGTATAGATATCTTTTTTTTTTTGGAGAGATCTTCACTGTAGGGCGCGTGCGCTCGCCAGACGGACAGAGAGAGACATAGAGACAGAAAGCGAGAAATCACCCCTCAGGGGGGATAGTCACGCCACGATCCCTTCTCCTCCACTCTCCTCTCGGGATCTTGGGCACGCACGCACACGCGCCCGGCGTGAGTTTTAAGCCACCAGGTCCAGGACACGAACCACGGTCAACTACGTGGGAGTCCAGCGACATAGCCATTACGCTAACTGCTGGTTCCCTAGATATCTTTTTTTTGAGAGGTTTTTGCTATAGGGTGCATGCACCCACCAGAAAGACTGAGAAGAGATACAGAAAGTGAAAAATCACCTCCCCCCCCAGAGGATGGCCATGCTGCAATCCCTACTCCTCCATTCTTCTCTTGAGATCTTGGGCATGCATGCACACACGCTGGCATGAGTATAAGCCATTGGGTCTGGGACTTGAATCATGATCAACTACATGGGAGTCTAGTGACATAGCTGTTATGCCAACTACTGGTTCCTTTTAAGAGGTTTTTGCTATAGGGCGCATGCGCTCACCAGAAAGAGAGAGAGACAGAGAGACAAAAAGTGAAAAATCACCCCACAGGGGGATGGCCACGCTGCAATCCCTTCTCCTCCATTCTTCTCTCAGGATCTTGTACCTGCACACAGACATACCCGGCGTGAGTTTAAGCCACTAGGTCTCAGACTTGAACTGCAGTCGACCACATGGGAATCCAGTGACGTAGCCATTACACCACTTGCGGGTCCCAGAATAGATCATTTTAAAGGCACATATATATTATCTGTGGTCTAAACTATTTTTGATCCACAACAGTTATCATTTCATTAAATGATATTCTGACAGAAAACAGTATAGGAGGAGGTAGAATGAGCTTTAAAATGATACAGGTTCAAAACAAAACCAACAAGCTAATGTCTGTATCATAGTAGTAAATTAGGAAAAAAGAAAGAAGTCTATCTAGATGCCTAGAAGCCAAAAATTATCATCATTTACTTTAAGAACCTCAGTATACATCATGCTAGAATAATTAAAATAAAAAATACCATTTATTTAGTTATCTACTTATTTGTTGTAATTTTCAAGCTATCAGGTCTGGGACTTGAACCATGGTCGGCCATGTGGAAATTCATTGCCCTTAACCACCACACTACCTGCGGACCCTAATGCTATAATTTTACAATTGAACAATAATATGACTATATTACAAAATAATTTGACAGGATGTTTAGAAAATGAATTTTTGCTAACCCTTTGACTACTGTTCATGTAAAAATTTCATTTCCTTATTAATTATTTAATTTGACATCCATAATTGATTTTGGTTAAGATGAATTACCCTCTAACCTGGCAATCCTTTTCCCATTTGGGACTGCTATGGCATTCTGATTCCACACTGGATACAAAGGTGTGGGACTGACTACTGGCACTGGACGTGGCCAACCTTTTTCTAGACTGGAGCAGATTGGAAGTTAGACACTTCACAGGCATTCTTGGGTTGGAGGCGAGTGTTTCGAGACCTGCCGGGAAGAGAAAATACTGAATTTTATGTCATGGTTTTCTTAGTTCCTTACCAGACCTGAATATTTACAGACAGTTTGGCAAAACAGTAAGTACCACACATCAGAACTATTTCATAAACACAATCCAGTCCAAGGATGGCTGCAGGGTCTCTGGCCTGCCTCCTGTTATGTTTAGAAACACAAATTCTTACAAAGACCAATACCAGCCAAGTAAATATCAGGACAGGGAATTAAATTGTAATTGAGAGAAAATAAATTTTGAGTGTTTATGATCCAAATGGAAACTATTTTTGATAAAGAAGTATTTTTGGTTTGCTATATCCATATGTGCTATAAGATTAAAACCTGACTGAATTTACTCATTTTATCTTGTACTCGATTAAAATTACAAATTTATTGTAATGTAGAGGATTACATGCTTACAAGAGTAAATCATATACATTCGTAAGGGATTTTTTTTTTTTTTTAATTTGCATGTCCTTGCCAGGAGGAGAGAGAAAGTGACTAAGCACACCCTGTGGGAGATGGTCACATTGCAACTTGTTCTCCATTTCTCCTTTTGGGATTTTGGGCTGATACACACATGTGTTGGCATATTTTTCAGGCTTCCTGGTCTAAGACTCGAACTGCAGGGTTAACCTTGTAAGATCCAGCTGCCTTAACCAACATGTCACCAAAGGGCCTGAGATTTTCTTATTTTTTTCTAGAGAAATTTTCGCTATAGGGTGTGTGCTCTCACCAGAGACAAAGACAGGCAGAAAGCAAGAAATCAGCCCCTGGAGGGGATAGCTACAGCACAATCCCTTTTCCTCCATCCTCCTCTCAGGATTTTGAGCATGCACGCACACATGTCCAGAGTGAGTTTAAGCCACTGGATCTGGGACCTGAACTGCCGCTGTCCAGCAACATAACCATTATGCCGTCTGCTGGTCCTGGCCTGGGATTTTCTTTTTCCTTTTTTTAAGGAGATTTTTGTCATAGGATTTGGGTGCTCGTTGGAGCGATAAAGAGGGACAGAGAAAAAGTGAAAAATCACCCCCAGGGAGTGATGGCCACACTACAATCCCTTCTCTTCTATTCTCCTCTCAGGATTTTGGGCATGCACACACACACCCCTGGCGTTGAGTTTCAAGCCACCAGGTCCAGGACTTGAATTGCAGTTGGCCATGTGGGAGTCTAGCAACGTTAACCATTATGCATCTGCTGGTCCCTTAACCTGGAATTTTCTTAGTGCTGCCAGATAAAGCAAGTACGTAGTGATAAATTGGCTAGCAGTGAGCCAGTATAATAAGGCAGCATCACGTACAAGGTGCCTGCTCCTTTACTATATATAATGTGGCTAAAAATGGTGGTTCTTTAACTTATAATTACATACAATAAGATAATTGCATTTTTTTGTATTTGCTTTTCACTGTAATTTCTGATATACATGTAATTGTTTTACTTTTTAAATGTTTTTTTCAAAGTATGCATATAGTACATGACAATCAAATCAAGGTTATTACCACATAATCTTTTTTTTTAATAGACCATAGATTAGTTTATTTTTAACACCCATTGTGCCATGAATTCATAGGGAATAGGTTCCAGTAGCTCAGGCTCCTTTCCATTGGTTCTCACACAGTGGCTTCTCTGGGTGGAGCAGGCTGGCGTTTTAGTTAAACCCAGGTCCCTTCCTCTTTGGCTTCTTTCTTTTTCTGGTCATTTTCCTTCCCACGTTTTAGGAAGCTATCTCTGCTCTTAGAGTGCTTAATATGCTCAATACCCACATTGATTCTCTGGGCAAGAATCTTGCCCTTAACTTGTTTGTTCACAACAATGCTAACAGCATGCTGGGTAACATTGTAGACTCTTCCAGTTTTGCCATGGTAGCATTTGTGGGGTGTTCCTTTTTGAACAGTACCCATTCCCTTGATGTCTACAATGTCACCTTTCTTGTAGATTCGCATATATGTTGCCAAAGGAACCACTCCATGTTTTCTAAAAGGCCTAGAGAACATATATCGGGTGCCTCTCCTCTATCCCTTTGTGTTCGTCATTTTGGTTAATTATTAGAACATGGCGGTTCTGGCCAAAAAACCATATAATAATTTTCAATGGAGAACTTTATGTTCTTATGTCTGTTAAGTATTTCTTCTCTGAGCTCCTCCCACTCACCCTCTACTACCTACCGCCCCCTGATGTAGCCTCTGGTACTTCCACTGTCCCTCCTACTATTACATCTTCAAATCTTTCCATTTCTGCCAGAGTCCAAACAGATAATATGTAGTAATTACAGATAATATATAAATATATATATATATAATAATAAAAAGAAAACATATATCTTGTTTCTTCTTTCTCAAAAAGGGTACAATGACCTTAATCTGAAGGAAATTTTTAATCCTTTTTTTGTTTTGTTTTATCATAGGGCATGTGTGCTCACCAAAGAGAAGCAGTGAGAGGGCAAGTCAGAAACCACCCTTCAGGGGATGTTTATGCCATAATACCTTCTTCTCCATTCTCTTTCCAGAATTTTGGGTGTGGGTGCACATGCACTTGGTGTGATTTTCAAGCTGCTGGGTCTCAGACTCAAACTATAATCAGTATGTGGGAGTCCAGTGCCTTAACCACCAATGCCAACTGCTGGCTCTGGAAAGTTTTATGCTTATAGTTTTGATTTATTAAGTCTTAGAACTTTAAAGGTGGAAGAATTATGGAGTCTATCTAATCTACCTTTCTTTTTGGCACACAGATTTTCAATGAAACTCCTGTAACTCGCTGGGCACTGCCTTCAGGAGGTGACTACTCTGCTCAGCTGCCATCTCGCAGCAACACAGAACCAGGGTTGAATCTAATGGCATGTGCATACTGTGTATTTGCTAATGAGATTTTTCCTGGATCACTGATATGAACACGTCATTCCCCACTCTGGCACTTTTGATAGCTCCTGGTTTTCTAGTTTAAACTCTAGCATCCTTAGAACGACACTTGATCCTTCCCCATCTACATACCAGGCTTCCTTTTCCCTGTATGTGCACCCCAATCCCAGACATCACACAGTCCCTATTATCTGAAGGTGGAATATACTTCCACGTATCTCTGCCTTGGCGTTCGCTAGTGCCTCTGTCTCAAATGCCCCTTTTCTTGTAGCTACGAAGTTCCCGCTTCTTTTTTTTAGGGTCCAGATGGGCTGTCACTACATCTTTATGTAGAACCATTCCACATTCTTCCCAGTTAGTATTTAACACTTCCCATATTATATCATGGCATCATTCTTGTGGTTTTACTTATCTATGAAGGTTTTTGCCACAGGGACCATGCTCTCACTGAGGAGAGAGAGAAAGAGTGAGGGAGAGAGAGGAAGAGAGAGAGAGAGAGAGAGGGAGAGAGAGACAGACAGACAGACACAGTGAGAAGGAAAATGAGAAATAACCCTCAGGGGGATGGCCATGCTACAATCCTTTCTCCTCCATTCTTCTCTGGGAATTTTGGACAGGCATGCACATGTGCCTGGCATGATTTTCAAGCTGCCTGGGCCGGGACTCAAACCTCAATTGACTATGTGGCAGCACCTTAATCACACGCCACCTGCTGGCCCTGTGGCATTCATTTTATAGAATTGTTATTATTCTCTCTTTATATGTGCCTTCACCACAAAATTACAAAACCAAAACCTCTCTTAATCATTTTCATGTCCAGTCAAGTGAACACCCCAGTCTTTGCACCCAGTTCTGACCAAGGGAGTTGAAATGATTTTTTCTGGAAAATAAGGCTATAAATAACATCTGCATATTTAATATTTTAACAGGCTTCTGTTTATCAATGCTATTGGGCTGTGAGAAAAGGGAAGACATACTGTGTCATGACTTTTTGGACAACCCAGTATGTATTTTTTTCAGTCATGTCACTTTGACAGAAGAAGTAAGACTCCTTAAATTTAGAGTAAAGGCCCAGTGAAGAGAGAATTATACCTGCAATCAGGACTTAGCTTAACCAAATGGCTTACTAAATATTTTCAAAAATTCATTTTCTCATTTATAAAAAGACACTAATACTATATATGCCCTAGATATGTTTGAGTTTGTTAAGGACCAGACTCAAAACAAAGTAAAATCTATGAAAACAACAAACCCTGATTCCCCTCAAAGCATTATTTGCCTTCTCACTGTAAAGGACCTACGTTCAGAGAACTGAACCGTATCTGTTGCTGCACTGCATAGCCATCCAAATGGTAATTGGTCCCATCTTCCTCCTGCACTGTTTGACATTTATCTTTTGTTGCACACAAAAATATCCTTGAGTTTTTACATTTAAGATACTTCAAACTCTTTCAGAAATAAGGTCATAAACATGCGAACGCAGGTACATCTTCTTTGTAGAAGATGTCCATAGACCCAATACAGTGAAATCTCCCCAATGAGCACGCAACATCACAGGTAAGGGAAGGATTTCATAGCTAGCCATTTTATCCTGTCCACTTAAAGATGTACCACAATCTCTGTCAGAAAGGACATTTATGTAGTGAAATATAATTAATTCCACAGATGGCTCAAATATTTGCATTTTAAAATGATTGAAGTATTAGAAATTTAAATTCATGTGCGCTTGCCAAGAGACACAGAGACAGAAAACCAGAATCACTCCCCCAGGGGAATGGCCACTCCTTAATCCCTTCTCCTCCATTCTCCTCTAGGGATTTTGGGAATGCACGCACACATGCCCAGTGTGTGTTTTGAGCTACCAGGCCCAGGACTCGAACCACAGTCAACTACGTGGGAGTCCAGCTATGTAACCATTGTACCATCTGTTGGTTCCTAGAAATTTAAATTCTGAAAGTATTTTTTTTCTTAAAAGTCAAACCTTTTCTTTTTTTTTTTTTGCTATAGAGTGCATGCACTTACTAGAGAACTAGAAAGAGAGAGAGAAAGCATCCCCCCCCCCCCCCGGGGAGGAGAAGGAGACCCCCCCCCCCCCCCCCGCGTGGATGACCATGGTGTAGTCCCTTTTCCTCCATTCTTTTTTGGGATTCTGGGCACACATGCACATGTGGCCAGCATTTTTAAAGCCACGAAATCTAGGACTCTAACCATACAGTCGGCCACGTGAGGTCCAGTAGTCTTAATCACCACACCACTTGGTTGGCCCAAAGGACATGCTTATTGGAATAAACTACCTTTTCTTTTATACTTACATGATCTTAGTAATTTGTTAGAGTAAGGAGTAGTCTCCTTTTGATCTATAGACATAGGACAAACTAGTCCTTGGGAAAGCTGTGATGTTTCAGAAAGATAGGCTGAAAGGAGATCTGCAGAGTCTTGATTTTTTTCTGCAACTGGGGTAAACTATTAAAAAAAGAAAAACAAATGTTATGAGATTTACTTATCCAGAAATACCATTTATGTGTACAGACTGTTACATGACCCAAGTAGACAAACTGTTAACAGAATATACTTGATTTTTAAATCTATTTTGAATATTTTATTTTTTAAGGGAGATTTTTAAGGTTTAAATCGTAATACTAAAAGGGCACGTTATATGTGCTTTTTCTTATTAAATACTTACAAATCCCAAAGAGCTGATGAGAGATAATATTTGTCCTGGTGTTCTTGAATAATCGATCCTAGGCTTAGCCATTGATGGTGTTGTAAGGATATCCAGCATATTGAGATCTGTGTATCCAAAGAAAAGTATATGAACTTCTTTATAGACTTCAACTGTCACTGACTAAATAAATTACTTTGTCCCTCTTTCCACTCTATTAACCTTATCTATAAAGCTGGCTTGTGCAGGATAAATATATCCAAGGAATTCACAGTACCATACAAGTTAAGAGAGCTGCATTCCACATGGCCAACTGCAGCATGAATACCAGCATCAACAGCTTTAAATACATTATAAAGCATTTGCATGTGTGTCCCAAATCTTGACAGGATGGAGACATGAAAAAGAAGGGACTGAGGCATGACCACACTCCACTGGTGAGTGCTTTCTCCCTCCCTTTCTCTCTGGCTCATGAGTACACTGGTCCTCTGGCAATTGATTTTTTTTTTTAAAGAATTACTTGATTTATTCATTTATTTTAATTTGGCAAGACACACACACACACACACACACACACACATACAGAGAGAGAGAAAGAGAAAGAGAGTGAGAGGGAAAGTGAGAAAGCAAGCCACCAGGTTTGGGACTCGAACCATGGTCGGCCATGTGAAGTGTCCTTAACCACCATGCAACCTGCTGGTCCCTGGCAATTAATTTTTAAAAAATGGTAAGAGAGGAACCAGCAGGTGGTGTGGTTAAGGTGCTAGACTCTCACATGGATGACCATGGTTCGAGTCCTAAACCTGGTAGCTTCCTTTATTACTTTTTCTCTCTTTCATGAGTTCATATACCCTATAGCAAATTTAAAAATTACAGTAATAAATACAATTAAATACTTTTTAAAAAATGGTAAGAGAAGCATATTGTTCTATATGTGGTATAGAATTTTTTAAAAGAATTATTTTACTTAACTTTCTTTCTTTATTTATTCATTTATTTTAATTCGACTACAGAGGGACAGAGAGAGAGAGAGACAGACAGACAGAAAGCAAGAAAGCAAGCCATTAAGTCCGGGACTCGAACCACCATCAGCCATGTGGGAGTCCAACACCCCCAACCACCATGCCACCTGCCAACCACAAATTTTATTTTATTTTTCAAAGGTTTTTGTCACATGGCATGTCCACTGTAGAGAATAGACAGTGAGAGGCGAAGTGAGAAATCACACCCCCCAGAGGGGATGGACATGCTGTAATCCCCCCTTCCATTCTCCTCCTGAAATTTTGGACACATGTGTCCAGCGGATTTTTAAGCTGCCAGGTCTAGAACTTGAACCACAGTCAGCCATGTGGGAGTCCAGTGCTCCAACCAACATGCTACCTATCTGGCCCTGTGGTACAGAACTTTGAAAAGTAGGGGGTCCTACATGTGGCAAAGTATAAAGACGTAGGACTGTGAGCTGGGCCTTGGCCTCTCCTGGATTTCGACCCGGGTAGTTGCCGTGCTTTTTCGGGGTGAGCGCTGCAGGGCCACAGCACAATGAGCAAGCATTGGTCATCTCGGCGCCGGGACGCTATGGTTTTGCAGAGGCACGGCTGGTTCCGCCTCACGGGAAGAAAAAGCCATTTATAGAGAAGCAGTAAGCTGTGTCTTTTCACTTGGTGCACCAGAGCCAACGAGATCCATTAGCAGCAGATGAGACTGCACCAGAGGGTTCTGTTGCCTACACAGAAAGTAAATGATGAAGAAGGGCAAGCAGAACAGAGAAAGTACAGGGTGTTCTTTGATGACGACTATGACTACTGCAGCACCTGAAGGAACCATCTGGGCCCTCAGAGCTTATTCCCTCTGGTACTTTCAGTGCGTACAACAAGAGAGATGAAAAAGAAGAAACTGTAGTAATTCCAAGCATTGGAATTAAGTTGCCTTCACCAGTGTTCGCATCTGAGTTTGAAGAAGATGTTAGATTGCATCTTCAAAGCAGCTCCAGTTTTAGGACCTCGACTGGATGTTGATCCTGGCATTGTTGTAGCTCTTGATGATGATTTTGACTTCAATAATCAAGACAATCTGCTTGAAGATGACTTTATTCTTCAGGCCAATAAGCCAAGAGGAGAGGAAGAGGGAGTGGTTATCCAGCAATCCGAGAGTGAAGATGGCAGTGAGTGGGAAGATGAGAAGGGAAGAGGCAGTGATGATGATAACTATGACTCCACAAGCCCCTTATCAGACAAAGATATGTCTGTGCCTGGAAAGCCTCAGGGAGTTGTAGAAAATCACTTGTTCTGGGAGGAAGAAACCAAAAAGTCACTTTACAGAATATTCTATTACTTCCTTGGTCATGAGAGAGAAGAACAGCTGACCCTACATGATGAAGAGGTTTGAGAAGTTTTATGAGCAATATGATGATGAAACTGGAGCTCTGGATAATACCGAATTGGAAGGTTCCATTCAAGTAGACAGCAATCGCTTACAGAAAGTTTTGAATGATTATTATAGGAAGAAGGCAGAAAATTGTGTAAAATTGAATACTCTTGACCCTGCCAATGAATAAACTCAATGAGTCTGGGGAAGAAGAGATTATTACTGTAGTTCTTGAAGAAGCCAAAGAGAAGTGGGATTGTGAATCCATTTGTAGTACGTACTCCAATTTATACAGCCATCCACAGCTTATCAAGTATCAGCCAAAGCCCAAATTCGAATGTCCCTTTATTTATTTATTTTTTTTGAGAGGTTTTTGCTATAGGGCGCGTGCGCTCGCCAGACAGACAGAGCGAACTAGAGAGACAGAAAGTGAGAAATGACCCCCCAGGGGGGATGGCCATGCCGCAATCCCTTCTCCTCCATTCTCCTCTAGGGATCTTGGGCACGCATGCACACGCACCCAGCGTGAATTTTAAGCCACCGGATCCGGGACACGAACCGCGGCCAACTACATGGGAGTCCAGCGACATAGCCATTACGCTGACTGCTGGTCCAAAATTCTAATATCTTCTAAAATAGGAATCAGTGTCTTACCTAAGAAAGGACTCACAGCAAAGCAAGTCAAATGAATATAGATGATTAACGCCAGCCATCTGCCTAAGGTATCGACTCAGCCATGTTGTAAAGATGAAAGCAAAGAAGATAAAAGAACAAGAAAGCAAGCTATAAAAGAAGAGTGCAAGGAATGGAGAGTGGAGAAGAAAGTTAATAAATTAGCATTCAAACTGGAGAAAAGGCAGGAAAAAGAGCTGTTGAACTGAAGAAGAATGTCGAAGGTCTAAAGCTATGGGCAGTGGAACATGTAGAATAAAAACACGTTCCCCAACAGGGGCTCATTATGTTCAGTAATCAATTTGGGTCTTTGGGGAAACCATTGCTCTCTGAAGAAATTTTCTGTCTTTTCAGTGGTAGATATTTGAAGAGAAAAATATAATATTTGTATTTTATACCAGCAAGTTTCCCTTGCCAGTAGTTTTGTACATATTGTAATATTTTAAAAATTAATTATTACAAACTTAGATTTGTGCCGAAATGATGACTTCATGGATGTGAAATGTTTGGATACATTAAAGGAAAATATCTTTTTTCTTTCTTTTTTTTTTTTTGGAGAAGTTTTTGCTATAGGGCGCGTGCGCTCGCCAGAGAGAGACAGAGAGACAGAAAGCGAGAAATTACCCCCTGGGGGGATGGCCACGCCGCAATCCCTTCTCCTCCATTCTCCTCTCAGGATCTTAGGCACGCACGCACACGTGCCCGGCGTGAGTTTACGCCACCAGGTCTGGGACTTGATCCGCGGTCGACTACATGGGAGTCTCGCGACACAGCCATTATGCTAACTGCTGGTCCCAAGAAAAATAACTTCATTAAAAAAAAAAAGTATACTGGAAGTTTGAGTTTGACAAATTTCATTTATACCTCACATTGATGAAGTAATAATAGGTAATAATAATCTTAAAGAATGATCTTACAAATAATACTTAGGAAATGCACTATGGGTGTGTGCACCTGTATCCAAAATATAAAAAGGAAGGAGAAATAGAGAAGCGTTCATATAATTCTCCATGGCGATGCTTTCTCCTTCTTTCTGCTGAACATATGTGCCCTCTGGCAAAAAATGTAAAAATGAACAATAAAAATAAAAACAATGAAAAAGAATTAGACACAATATAAAAATTATTATATTGGGCTGGTCCCATTGGCTGGTGGTTAAGGGAGCATATTCTTATTTCTGCAGTGAAATGTTGAATAGTGACATGAAATGGGATTAATAAAGACTACAGGCCCAGACTCTGTGGCACAGTGTGTAGCATATCAGACTATGGAGCTGGAAGTTACATGGTGACCAAAGTGCAAGTTTCTGTCCTGGCCAGCTTGAAGATAAGCTGGGTATGTACATGCGGGTCTCATACTCAACAGAGGACTAGAGGAAAGAAATAACAATGTGTCCAAGTCCTGTGAAGGTGCTCCTCTCTCTCTCTCTCTCTTTCTCTCTCTCGTGTATGTGCTCTATCATGAATAAAAAATAAATTAAAATATGGGGCTAGCAGGTGATGTGGTGGTTCAGGGTGCGGGATTCCTGCATGACCAACCATGGTTCAAGTCCCGGACCTGGTGGCTTGCTTTCTTGCTTTCCCTTTCTCTCTGTCTCTCTCTAGTAAAATAAAAAATAACAAATGGAATTAAATAATTAAAAAAAAATTAAAATAAAACTATAAATGTCCCCACATCAGCTCAGGTCAGATTTTACAAAGCTGGGCTAGCCCTGTGGCCTGCTAGTTGGAGGAGCAAGATCGCAAATGGTGGACATGTTTGCATGCATGCCCTATATCCCAACAGAACAGAGAAATGGAGAAGGGACTGTGACATGGAAGGTGCTTTGTCCTTCTCCCTTGCTCTCTTTCTTTAGTGATCACATGTGCCGTCTGGCTTAAACAAAAACGAACAAAAAGTTTGTTTATTTCTTCCATGAAAGAGATACACAGAAAGAGAGAGACAGGCGCTCCCAACAGAATCCTCATGCCATGATCCATCCCTAGCCTCAGTCAACCAGGACTATGGACATGCATGCACGGACCTAGTGTGTTCGGGTAGACCTGGGGACGTGAACCCAGGACCATATGACCTCAGCATCTGGAGCACTGCATGGTCATTCCATTACCACAGATGGTCATCTACACTTTTCTTTCTTTTTTTTTGTTAAAGGCTTATACCATAATGCACTTACTGGAGACAGAGAAAGTGAGAACTCACTCTCCAGGGGTGATGGCCATGCTGCAATCCCTTTTCCATTCTGCTCCAGGATTCTGGGCATGAACACACACATGAACCCAGCACGATTTTCAAGCCTCCAGGTCTGGGACTCTAACTGCAGTTGGCCATGTGGGAGTCCAATGCTGTAACCACTATGCCACCTGCTGGCCCCCCATGTACACTTTTTAAAAGAGAATATAAAATGCTTTCAAGTTGCTACTCTATCATTTTTTAATGTTTCTATGATAAATAATTTATGGTTTCTTATTAGAAACAATGCTGCTATAAATATTTTGTTTTCTTGAACCAACCTAAAACAAAAGCCACTAAATCAAGAGAATTAAAACCTTTTGTTTTTTAAAAACATATTGACATATTTTTTTCTGAAGGCACCATTCTACTTTACAGCCTCATTAAAAAAACTTGAGTGTACTGAGACCAGCAGGTGGTATGGCAGGTGGTGGTGCTGGACTCTCACATGGTTGACCATGGTTCAAGCCCTGGAACTGGAAGCTTGCTTTTTCGCTTCTCTCTCTCTCGTAAGCACATGTGGCCTGTAGCAAATTAAAAACAATGATGATGATGATAAATGAAATAAATCTTGAAAAAAAAAACTTGAGTGTACATTTTTAATCTTTTTAAAAAATTGGATTATTCCTTGTTTATGTCTGCTCAATAAAAGGATTAATTTATTCTTCTTTATGTGAGCATTCTATTATTTTAGTATTTCTGTATTAGCATTCCTATATTAATAAAATGACTAGTGAACTGGACGTATTTATACATACATGCATGTGAGAACTGTGTGTGCATTTCCCCTTTATCAAATCCTTAGGGGCTGTTCGATACTTGAATGCGTTTTTGGCTATTAAATTTTCATCATGTTATAGTTATTTTAGTCATTTCACTGATGCTTAATTGGTAAGAACTGTTTCAGTAGTGATAAAAGAATTCTGAGTTCCTTTCTGAAAATGCAAGGATCTTCAGGGACCTTTGAAGATCTAAGACTAATCATTTCTACCATTCATCTTTAATGAAAAAAAGATACCATTATACCTGTCTAGTCTATGTTGAAACGTCCATCATTCTTTTGGGTGTAAATTAACAAGTAACACGGTACCAGTTAATGAGGTGTAGTCTCTTAAATTGGCTGGAATTTTAAAAATGCACTTACCTGCTATTTTTTTCTTACCTCTATTCAAAGTAACTTTGGAAAGGCCAAAATCTGTCAGCTTAATATGACCTTCATTAGAAATAAGCATATTGTCTGGTTTCAGATCCCTGCAGATACAGAAGGTAAATAGTAGATAACTAAAAATGGGGAAAAACAGAGTCACACAGGGGCGAATTCCATTTATTTCTTCTAAATTAAAGGCACTCATTGGTGGCTTTGGAAAGTAAGAAATTCTTGAAGAGCAACTCTCAAAAGTAAAACATCTTTTGGGGCCAGCAGGTGGTATGGTGGTTAAGGGTGCTGGGCTCCCACAGAGCCGACCATGGTTTGAGTACCTGATCTTGTGGCTGGCGCACACTCTCTCTCTCACATTCTGTCCCTCTCTGGTCAAATTTAAATAAATAAAGTTAAATAAAAATAATTATTTTTAAAAAGTAAAACTTGTACCTGAATCTACCAAAATGTTAAATGACTTCATGCTATATTATTTTTGGTATTACTCATTAGATATTTGGTTAAAATAAACACATCTCATTAGACAAAATCAACCTCAAACCACTTCAAAATCATTTTACAGGGACCAGTGGATGGCTTAATGGTTACATCACTGGACTCCCATGTAGTTGACCACAGTTTGAATCCCAGACCTGGTGGCTTAAAACTCATGCTGGGTGGGGCCGGCAAGTGGCATGGTGGTTAAAGGCGCTGGACTCCCACATGGCCGACTACGGTTCAAGTCTCGGACCTGGTGGCTTGCTTTCTCATTTCCTCTCTCTGTCTCTCTCTGATCAAACTGAAAAATAATAATGATAATAATAATAAAGTTAAATAATTCTTAAAAAAAAAAACAAAACAAAACTCATGCTGGGTGAATGTGCATGTGTGCCCAAAATCCCAAGAGGATAAAGGAGGAGAAGGGTTTGTGACTTGATCATCCTCCCGGGGAAGTAATTTCTCACTTTCTGCCTCTCTGTCTCTCTATCTCTCTGGCAAGTGCACACACCCTATGACAAAAATCTCTTAAATTTTTTTTTTTTTAATTTTATCTCTTTAAAGGTAAGGTTAAGCTTCAATAGAGTAGAGTCATTTCACCTGACTTTCTTTGTACAAAGGAAAACATTGCAAATCAATTAGGATTACAAAATATAGTCCTTTTGTACGATGGTGGAGTAGAAAACTATTCAATAGTCTTCACATTAAAATGTTACACTTGTGTCCACAACACATATTTGAGAAACCACAAGGAGACAAGAAAGAGTAAATAAAATTTCTGAATTCTAAATTAATAGTAGCTAAGCATTTAGATAACTTGGAAGTATGGATGACTGGTTACTGCAAACATATGAGACTTAAACTTTTAATACATATTTTGATTACTTGCATTTTCAAGTAATAGTTTGGAGAAAAGTCCATCTTTACCTGTGGATAATTCCATGTCTATGAAGGTAGTCAAGAGCCAATGCTACTTCCGAAATGTATTTCACAGCCATCTCTTCATCAAAGTAACCATATATATGTAGGAGAGACTTGACATCTCCACCAATAAGATACTCCATTACCTACCAAAAAGGAATTCAACTGTGAAATTGGAATGATACGACTTTTTTTTTTTTTTTTTTGAGAGGTTTTTTGCTATAGGGCACATGCACTCGCCAGAAAGACAGAGAGACAGAAAGTGAGAAATCACCCCCGAGGGGAGATGGTCACGCCGCAATCCCTTCTCCTCCATTTTCCTCTTGGGATCTTGGGCACACATGCATACTACACCAACCGCTGGTCCCACGATATGACTAACTTTAGAGACATACCATTTGGCCACCATAGTCATGATTCTGTAACAAAAAACATTTTCTTTCCTTTCTTTTTTTTTTGGAGAGGTTTTCGCTATAGGGCGTGTGCGCTCGCCAGACAGACAGAGAGAGACATAGAGACAGAAAGCGAGAAATCACCCCCCCCAGAGGGGATGGTCACGCCGCAATCCCTTCTCCTCCATTTTCCTCTTGGGATCTTGGGCACGCACACACACGCGCCCGGCGTGAATTTTAAGCCACCGGGTCCGGGACGCGAACCGCGGTCGACTACGTGGGAGTCCAGTGACATAGCCATTACGCTAACTGCTGGTTCCCACAAAATACATTTTCTAGGGCCAGCTAAGTGGACAGCAATAACGTGCTGCTGAAGCAACGCTGGACCCACATGGGAGACTGCAAGTTTGGTTCCCTGGAGGACATGTACACGCCCAGCTCAGGTGCTCATGTCCTGACTGCCTAGGAAGGCTGAGGGAGGGGATGATAACATGGGACCCTGTTGAAAGCGCTTGTCTCTCTCTCTTTTTCTCTCTCCCATGGGAGGAAAAAAAAACCTTTAAAATAAACAAATTCTTTCTTTTTTTTTTAAAGAGAGATATTTGCTGTGGGCTATGTACATTCACCAAAGAGACAGAAAGTGAGAAATCACCCCCTAGGGTGATGGCCATGCTGCAATCGCTTCTCCATTCTCCTCTCAGGATTTTGGGCACACATGCACACCCGGTCGGCGTGAATTTTAAGCTGCAGCGTCTGGGACTCAAAACGCAGTTGACTATATGAGAGTCTAGCTATGTAACCATTACGCTATCTGCTAGTACCCAAAATAAACACATTCTCTTGTAATAACACTACTTTTTTTTTTTTTTTCCAGTAAGATATTTTTACTACAGGGCATGTGTACTCATCTATAGCTAAAAAGAGAGAGAAAGTGAGAAATCACATACTCCGCCCCCATGGCCATGCCACAATCCCTTCTTCTCCATTCTCCTCTTGGGATTTTGGGCACCCACACACATGTGCGTGGCGTGAGTTTTAAGCCACCAGGTCCAGAACTCGAACCACAGTTGACTATGTGGGAGTCCAGCAATGTAACCATTACGCCATCTGCTGGTCCTGCAATTACTACATTAAGAGGAGGTTTGCTCATGTTGCTATAGTTTTAAATTAAAAATAAAACTGGTGAGGCCAGCAGATGGCATAGTGGTTATATTGTTGAACTCCCACATGGCCAAGCATAGTTCAAGTCCTGGACCCAGTGGTTTGAAAATCACAGTGTATGTGCATGCCCAAAATCCTGGGAATAGAACGGAGAAGGGATTGTGGCATGGGCACCCCTCCCTAGGTGTGTGTGTGTGTGTGTGTGTGTGTGTGTGTGTG